GACGAATTTTGTATGGATAAATGTACATTTAGAGTAGCATTTAGAGCTAAATGCGCTAAATGCGCTTTTACGCGTAAGCAAAAACAGCCCATTATTATAGTCAATATACATATGTTAGAAAATTGCAAGTAAAAATTTTACTAGCAGGAATTTGCAGAAGTCAAAAAGTAAGGTTATGTTTAAAATTATAATGTAAACAAACTGTTTAAGAGGATAATTTGATGAAACATAATTAGTGAAATGAAAATATGGATGAAAAATTGAAATCTATTGTATATTTTTTAAATTTTATGACGATGGGAACTATTCCCAATTAAAAAGAAAATTNAAGGTACAAGGTAGATATGATGAATTTTGTCAGTGTTGTGGGAATAGGGCGGTTATGCAGCGTTTTTGCTGCATTTAAAATGCAACATTTAGCACTTTCGAACATATGTTTTCGAAGAGCGTTCATGCTATAGCATTTAGCAAATGTACATTTACGCGAGTTCGAAATCGTATGCTTTTGTTAAACAGCCGTGTTCCAGTCTCTTATTTAGATCCGTATATATTACGATCAATTCTCACGCAGAAGAAAATGTGCAAAAACCATACTGAAAAGGGAAAAATAAATTTTAAACCAAAAATTCAATACAAAAACTTGAATGATTTTAACCATAACCAAACATTTGTTTGTGTATATATTCATTTGTCGGTGCTGTCAATTAAAATTTCCTCACCTAATTAGGAAACAAACCAAACAGAGTTGATCACAAATTGATCCAGATTTCTATCAGCATCACATCGATGTTGAATTTTCTTAACTTTTCTTTATCCAAATATGTAATGTAAAATAAAAGAAATCTCAATCGGCGATCACTGAAACGCAGCTAGCAACTGTATACTCGAAAAAGCAATGTTACCACTTTTTCTCTTTAAACCATGTTCGAATCGTGGAAATTTTGGAAGATCACAGGGTTGCTTTGGCATTTAGATTCTTAATGCAAAAATGGAGTTGCATTTAGTTGCATTTAGGTGACGAATTTTGTATGGATAAATGTACATTTAGAGTAGCATTTAGAGCTAAATGCGCTAAATGCGCTTTTACGCGTAAGCAAAAACAGCCCATTATTATAGTCAATATACATATGTTAGAAAATTGCAAGTAAAAATTTTACTAGCAGGAATTTGCAGAAGTCAAAAAGTAAGGTTATGTTTAAAATTATAATGTAAACAAACTGTTTAAGAGGATAATTTGATGAAACATAATTAGTGAAATGAAAATATGGATGAAAAATTGAAATCTATTGTATATTTTTTAAATTTTATGACGATGGGAACTATTCCCAATTAAAAAGAAAATTGCGCGTCAAAACTTAACCGTCAGAAAGTGTTAAAATGGCAGTAAGTCTAAAGGTCAAAATACAATAGCGCAGTGGCATTGACAGTTTTTAAAATCAGCTGTTACTGCTAATATTGGCAATCACTGCCGCAGCAAAAAATACGGCGTTGTCAGTGACTGCCTTTTTTGACATTCCCTTTTGTTTGTTTACATTTTTGTTGTTGCATTTTAGGCTTCAGTGACGTCAACAGATGTTGGCTGCGTTTCATTTATGTCAAATTCAGCATGCGA